CATGGCATTGTTGAATACTTGTTTCTGATTGGCTTGAAGGGCATTCTAGAACGTGCATTATTTCCCTATCTGACATATTTGGATATGTCATCTTCAGACACCTTTGAAACTTTACTGCAAAAAACACCATGAAACAGTTGATATAACCATTCACTATGTACCACTCATAATGTTGTAAAATCAACACACATCTTTCATATAAATACTGTAAATTAGTGGAAAAGGACACCCACTGTAACAAACTTCACACAATGTAGCAATATGCTTAGTACTATTTAAAGGGAAATTAAAAAAAAATTCAACTTCATATTCACCTCCAGCACTACCCCAACATCAACAAATGTGGAAAATTATGCGTTTCTATGTCTTGTAGTAAAAAAGATAGGAAGATAAGTGTTTCCAATGACATCATCGGTGTGCATTGTGTGATTTTAACTAATTATGAGTAGGCATTACCTACTAATGGTCTACTAAATGGTTGATGATGTCATTGAAAACATTTATCTTCCTCTATCTTTTTACTACAAAACATAGAAACGCACCATTTTCACATATGTTGATGTTGAGGTGGTGCTGGAGATGAATATGAAGTTGAACATTTTGGAAATGTTTCTTTAATTTCCTATCAAATGGCCCGACACAGAAAATCGAATCAATTCAACAGTGAAATAGATCATATCACATTCTAATGAAAACATAACGTGCTCTTAAAATGTCTGTCCCCCTGTGCAGCCAGTCAGTCTTCTCCAGATGACGTGATGAATAGGGAACGCTGATGGAATATGCATCAAAGTCGAGCTCATGATTTATGTAATAGCAGTCACTTGGACACTGATTAGCTGCTCTGTCAGGCGTGTAATACGAGAGGTACAACCCCTGGTTTATCAGTCATTTATCTGAAGAGTGTCCTGATATTATCACTGGATCCTAATGTCATCATTATGCTGCGCAGCATGTGCAGGCCAGTGTGTCACAGCGTCGGCGACAGAGCCTGTCAGGAGTTCAAGCCTCTTCATTTGCAAAGTGCTCAGACATTGTTAACACTGTCAACAGTAAAATAGGAAAAGCCACATCATACCATAAAAAGGGGGAGAGCAGGACAGAGGCAGTGAATAAGTGTACACCAGTGGGTATGGAGAATTATGGCATCACCGCTTTTAGGGGGGGGGGGGGGGGGGGGGGGGGGGGGGGGGGGGTGTAATGTAGTGGTCAAGCTTCTTCGGTAGAAGGATGAAAAGAATCAATTAGAAATAAGCATACAACTAACTAAATAAAAATGTATCTCATACAGTTCTGCGAATAGAAGGGGTTTAATATAAACAGTTCACACGTACTGTACATTACGAACAATACAGAACCCAGGAACTCCACAGTGTGAGGCCCAGGAAGCATTTCTTCCTGATGAAAATTCACTCACATACCTGTGAAAGAATGATGGTGTTCATATCTCCCAGGACTTTCCTCTACTCCTCAAGCATGCTGGGTATTATAAACGGCAGCTCCTCCCATGTCAATATCAGGAGAAGTCTGCGAACAAAGGAAAAGGGCGAGACAGAGACAGACAGTATAGGATAGAGCCATGACAATCATACGTAGAGGAGCGGATGGACGAAATTGCTCATAAACAATTTATGTGTTCATGAAGAAGGTCCTGTTATTCTCACAAACATCTGGTGCCATAGGCTACACTAAAAGGAAGTTGTACTCTAAGTCCATCAACACCTCACACAAACAAAAATAGTGAGGGAAACCGAACAGGAAAAGGAGCTCTTTGAGTTTCAAACAAAAGAGATCAGCCTTGCTGCCAACACAGACAGGGCACCACACCTTTACACTGATGCTGCTCACAATCAAAGGAACAGCCGTCACCAGTGGAACTGTGTTTTTAAAGGATATCTTAAAAAGATTAAATTGTGTGCCACTGATGGAAAACAATCGGGACTGGAAGCTTTACTGTACAGGTCATTCACACACACATTATTCATTTGACCCCACCATGGTCAGAGTTTTTCCTGTTTTGTTAAATATTTCCACTCATTTCATTTGAATGAATACCACTGTGGTGATGCTTAAACCAATACAGAATGTATGTGACTTGGATGTTTCAAAACAGCATCGAGCCAATACAATGGGTGAGGGCAAAAGCATGAGTATGTATAACAGATAAAAAACAATCTTAATGCTCATTTGAGTTACTAAAACATATTTGTTTGCTAAAATTGGATTACAAAAACTCCAATGTAAACTGCTTTAAGAGCAGGGTAGGCCTATATTTTTGTTGGGACATTATCATCATTAAACCAAAGTCAAGGCATCATGGCCCAGCATTTCCAGCAGAGGGGGCTGCTTACTGCAATCATATGGTGATTAATTGAGCTTGATTCTCACCATGCTGTGAACATAAGCTGTCCTACATGAAGATATGTGAATAAAGGTCGAAATGCCTCTAATAATCCCTAACTCACTTACTTATAGCCTACATCAGAATCACATGCAGAATTAAGAAAAGTTTAATTTATATTATCACTCATGCAAGCTAATATCAAACCAGGTTATGTTCATTTTTATTAGGCCTAATTGTGCATGTTCCTCTAATTAGCTAACGAGAGACAAAAAGCAGGTTTAGAGCAGCAAAATGCAAATGACTTAGAAATTGCACAAAAAAGTAAATGGCAAGGCTGAGAATCATCTTTCATTGAAATGTCAGAGATAAATGGCTCAAATGTCACATCAATTAAAACGGGGGACAGTTAGTAGTTCATTAGAGAGAGAGCCATATTGCACCGTCGGGTAGCGCTGCCAACCCTTACTATCTGGGGCAGACTGGCAGAGGGTCCAGATGGCACGGAAATCCTCAAAGATTTCAAAATGTTCTCTGCAGGGGTGGCGTTTTCTCCACGCTCCCACCCTTACCACTGAGTGGGGTGTGGGCCTTGCCTGGCTTGCCACCCAAAGCTCAATTGGAAACTTGCATGGAAATATAGTACAGAGAAAGTGTAGAGAGTAGGCTACCTAGCTGCTGCAAGCTCATGAAGATACATGATTTATGAGTGGATCAAATAAGCACCAGGAAAGTTTTGGGTGTTACAAATATTATCATTGAAGTATTCTAGTGGGTGAGATTTGGGCTGAAAATTGCAGTTTGTTTAAATATATTTTTTCCTACCTGCTTTTAAAAGTTTGATTAGGCATACAGCCTTCATGCTGATGACAAATTGTATATTATTAACTGAATACTATAGTGCATGTGTGCTTTTAGCAGTATAGCTGCATTATTTGTTGTAGGGAGCAGAGGGGGAAGCACGTCTATCCAATGACGGAGTAAAGATAAAGTAGATGCAGCCGTTTGCCTCTTTTGATTGGCTGCCTCATACACGTTGTGGAAGAAACCAGGAAGAGAATCAACTACACATTGTTACATGGAGCAGGCAAGTATTTGGGCATTATATAAAGTTGTAGGCTACGTTCTTGTTTGTTATTTTCCTGACAATATTAGGCTACTGTCAATATTACTACACCAACACATGTCATACATGTTTGCTATTTTTCGGTTTTTAGAAGATAACGTGTGCTGCGCACCTCATTTACCCGCGAATATCTGCATGGTCCGTGCTATTCGGGTCCTTGCTACGTCCCTATCACATTGAAGTTGACATTTAAAATGGTAAGGGTTATGTTTAGGGTAGGGATAGTATGCGCGCGAATTTCGAGTAGTTTGCACATTATTTAGTCTCGCGAGGCCATCCAAATCTCGTCACGCTGGCTACAGACAGACTGTTCGAATAGTTGTATCGCTTTGTCTGTTCATTATGTATACAAATAGGCTAAATAAACCTAGTATACTTTAAGCTATACCTAAATGCATACAAAGTTATTTGCACCACATTTAGATAATGTATATTAGGCCTAATCAGCACATCAAACAGCTGAACTCTCTATATCCCTCCTTATAATTTATATAGGATAAACATTTTGTACGTGTTTCATATGTGTACAGTACCCCAGTCTCAAAGCTGTTTCATTGCTTGGTTTGCCAATGTGGGCGCTGCTCTGCAACATTGCAGCTTGATTGTTTAGTTCATAGCCTAAACCCCCCCTCATGGAACACAACCTGGGAGTTGCTGGAATAGTTAGGGAGGAGTTTACGTGCTCTGCTTTTTCCTGGAAGCTGTTGTGTGGTTTCAGTAGATAGAGAGGAAGGGAATTGAGCAATAGGTCCAGTTAAACAGATCAAAATCACTTAAATTATTATGACAGCAACAAATGATTGTATCATGGTTGTGTTTTTGACTGTACCTCCTGTTTACTTTAACAAGTGCATGAGGAAAATGGGGGAAATGTAAACCCATTGTTATTTCTAGACTTTATAACTAATGTGCAGGCCTGTATAGAAAATAGAGGTTTCTTGGAATCAATGTGACCTTTATGTATTATAACCCCCATACCTCAAAAAGTAGCAATATAACATAGTCAATCATCTCTCCTTCCCTCAAAGTAAAAATAAAAAAGAAAGTGCTGTCTGGTTATTGCCAAAATCCATCTCAGTCGTCAGAAAAGCTGCACGTTTTCACTGTTGTTAAGGGCTGGAAACCGGAATCCCCTTGGAGTTGCACCCTAAGGAACAAATTTAATGCTAGGAAAACATCCCGGCCATCAACCAAAAATGATGGATTGAAAATAATGTTGAGCTATCTAGGGAATCCCTCACCAGACAAGGGAACATACTGCATTGTTTTTCTCATTTATATGATATATAAAAAAGAAATGCGGGAAAAAACGAGCGATTTATTGGTTAGATGGGCACATAGTTTTTTTCACCATAAAACAAAGAAATACAGGATTTTAATGTAAGGATCAAGTCACATCATGACATAATTTCAAGGGTAGGTGTACAAATCATTAATATTTGACTCTTACGTGGCTTGCTATCATTTCAACAATTCCTTCAATATAGAATGTGTAAAAAATTATTAAAGTTAGCCACCTACATGAATACAACAATGCATATGTTTCCCTACCAGGGCAATGACATGAAGAGTCCCGGTCAGTGCACACAGAGGACCATCTCATTGCAAAGTCCCCTGGGAAAGATCCAAGTCAGCGGATGTGAAAATGGTGTGCACACCATCCAGATCCTAATGGATGTTCCACCTGCAGAAAGGTACTGTACTGTAGAGCCACTGACATTCTAAACAAAGGTGTGCAATTTACAGGCAGACAGAATCCACCCATTTGATCGAGTGCCCCCTATTCCTCATTGGAAGCAGGGGCATTTTTGTTGATCCCCTAAGAAATATCCCGAAGAAAGTTGGGCAAAATATAGGAGACACTAGAAATATGAGGGGCGCTAGAATACAGTTGAGCTCGAAATTTGATTTCTGATGGCACATTCTTCCTGCAGTATATTTGAGATCTTCTGAAACCTAACTGTTTATTACCCACAGGGGTGAGTATTAGTGTGGAAGGCTAGGGTCAGCTAAGGGAACATGGCCTTTTCCGTACTGTATACCCGTATGTATTTTGCTGATATTTGTCAGTTCTAGAAAACCCTTTTACACTCCTCAAACAGGTACTGTGGGATTTCAGAGCAATCATTGCTCAATAATATTGACAATTTGCAATCTTGAATGATTGGAACGGATTAATATCTGCATAAATAAGTATGTACTCTTTAATTTCCAGAAATTCACATTTTCAGGTCCATGCCCTACATTTCACATTTGTTTTGATTAGATGGAAATTAAATATCCCTGTATCACAGATTCAAATTTGATCAACTTCATTTGTTTGGGAAATTAAAGCTTTTTTACATTCACCAAAAAGGAAGTCACCCTTTTAGTAATGTATGGCAAACTGTAATTTATGGAAACATATTAATGCCCTTGTATATTTTAAATCAATATGTCTGCTTCCTAGCTGTCTCCCATCCCCTAAAATTAATCAAGCAGTAAAAACATTCAACTTGTTAATCAGCAGAAGTGTAGAAATGAATAATATGGAATGTGATTATGGAAGATGTACTGTAACCATGCACAAGCACCTTTTCTGCCCCTCATTCTGGATGTGGTTTAATTTGTGTGTTCAGGTTCAGTGAGAATATGCAAATGAATTTAATGATTCGCATCAGTAGATGCTGCGTTTAATATAATTTGCTATGTCGGCCATCAGCGTAGTTTCTGTTAGACTGCAATGTATCTTCCCAAATGTAAGAACAAGTAAGGATTTAACTTGGATAATGTTTGAATGCTATCACAATCGGTTGGATACTGGCATTGATAATTAAGTTGAGTATGTCAGCAACAATTTAATTGTAAAGTAGCCGATACAATTAGCATCAAAATGGCAAAACAAAGCAACAAGAATCCAATTGCCTAAGCCAGTCTTCCTCAAGATTTATAATTGTCCAAAAAGTGTATAATTTTCCAACAATGTTTTGGTTTTGGTCCAGGAGTGTTTTGCACTAGAAGAGTTGGCAACCAAAGATGTGTGCTTGGTTGAACCCTAGGGTTAGCATTGTTCAGAGCAAAACAACAGCAGTGGTAACAAAGCATTTGCCACATTGAAAAATTGTGATTGATAAATGACATTATAGCTACACAAATGCACTTGAAGCATTGCTTACACACCATGACCGTCAGCTTTTCTAATAGAAACGTCTCAAGCCCCTTTTGCTTCCTAACTGATATAGCTAGGCAACATTTGCTGAAATAAACCTCCACCAGTCTAACGACAGCCCTGAAGGCAACGTCAGATGAACAAATTCATTATATCTCAACAACCCCTGTTGGGGCTCAATCCACCCAACACACTGTTAACCAGCATTCCCTGTTTAACATGGCCAAAACATTGTTCACTGAAAAATGATACACATTTTGTTTACAGGAGATTACTATTATCTGAAATATGATGCTTCTCACACCAAAACAGAGACATGTTATACAGACGAAAAACAGACTACTTTTTTATTAGAGTGAAAAATGGAAAAGGGCTGGACTTTTGCCCCCAAGACATTTTGTGGGCATATTATTTTACAATGCTTTGATCAATTTGTCTGTCAACCTTGCTGAGATGTGGGAGAGCTGGAAAAAGCAATTTAGCTTGTGAGGTCCTCAATAGAAATGTACTACAGATGCCTGTGTGTGACATGTTGCATTAGTACTTGAGTAGTCTTTATTGCCTGATAATGTTGCAAGGCGATACTGATATCAATCATTCTTTAACAGCTACCATTATGCTGCAATTTTGTAACAAAAATAATGCATACAATATTTGACAGAAATAATTGATTTAATTCAAAGGTAAAATATTACAGTGATATATTCCTGCTTTAACAAAAAAAGAACATTGGACAAACAGAAAATGTGGTGCTCTAACAGAAACTGTTAGAAAAACTGCCGGCCGGCCCGCATATGCTTCCATAGATATTCTCATTAATACTACACGGATAAACAATGAACACTCGGTCTCATTTGCATATAGATATAAACAATATATTTGTGCATCTGAATTCCCATCACACATGGATCATGTGATGCGCCGGAAAGCCTAAGTGGCTCAAACCAAAATTGTCATTATACTTCCCTATGCCATAAATCCAGCTTTTTTCCTTCCCTCACAAAGCTGTATAAATCTGTGTCTGATTTTTCAACAGTGCACATTGTTTTTAGTTAATTGTTTTCATCTGTTTGTTTTGCCTCTGATAGCAGGGAAATCTACCATATGCTCTTCCAAAAGACAACTGATTAGCAAATGAAATTCTGGACAGCTGTCTGACTGAAAGCATTTGGTTGATAGCATTCTGCTACCATAATTAGCTTAAGCTTTGGGTTAATTAACTTTCTACCTGGATATGCATAATAATAGCAGCACCCTGCACAAAGCCAAGGAGCTTGTGGTATATCAGCAGGAAAGGCTGTCTTTATTTTGTATTTCAACAGCATATTTCAATTTCAAGAGGCGATTTAACTCAGGAATATCATCAAAAATTGTAGATTTTCCTTTCCGAGCCAGATAATTCTGAAACAATAGGGGTGTATTATGTGGCAGAAATGCCATTTCTGAATGTAATTAAAATGGATGAAAGCAATCACAGATTTTTAAATGCTTTTGTTCAGCATCAGGCCTGCTTGTAAAAGAAATACCCATTGAGAGGAGAAAGAGGCAAGAAAACCTTACAGTACAAGAGTAATTAGTCTTTTGTACGAATGTGCTCGCCATGTTATAGTAAAGCATAAGAGAGGAAGACTGTGTTACACACAAGAGGAATGGATATCCTCGGTGTTTTAGTCTATTTAGCCCCAGTTAGTATAACCTATACCCTCCATTGTCATAGACCACATGAGGTCGAGTGTTTGATTTGTAACTGTTCTCCCTCAACATTTTCACTGTCAAACTGTCTAAGCATGCCTTCTATATTCTGTCTAATACCCCAGGTGTCACAGCAGTTTTAACACACTACTAATACTAGTGTGAATGACCTGGAGTGGTGTGTCTATCTATTTTTCACACTCATGCAGTGTTGGTAATCAATGTGCTGGTTCACACAGAATAGTGTCAGAAACCTATTCCTGTTTTCTGGGCATGTTTGCATGATTCATGCTCATCAAGTGACCCGTCAACAGTAGGCCTCTTTCTGGGGACGGGAGTGGACGGGGAGTGCTATAGATTTTAAGTGGATGTGCTATATACAGTTTACTGTAGATTTCTATCAAAATGTTTAATATATCTCCATAGTGCTATATACCTTACAGAGAGACTGAAAAAAGGCACAGCTCACACTCAGATCTTTGTGAGCAATTTTTAAGACGCAATAATCAGCTTCTGTGAGAGCTTTTGACATATATGTTATATAATTCATGAAATTACAAGTTCGATTAGACCAGGGTTGCCCAAACTCGGTCCTCGGGACCCCAAGGGGTGCACGTTTTGGTTTTTGCCCTAGCACTATACAGCTGATTTAAATAATCAACTAATCATCAAGCTTTTGAATCAGCTGTGTAGTGTTAGGGCAAAAATCTAAACGTGCACCCCTTGGGGTCCCGAGGACCGAGTTTGGGAAACGCTGGGTTAGACTATGTCATCATTTTGCATTTAGATTTTAGAATGGCCTTAGGTACTGTAGATGTATTTTGTTTATCTGGCCTAGTGCTCAGCTGCAGGTTCATTAAGGTGCAGTTCCCCGTGGCCCTTGGACCCATCTGTGCTCTGTGCCTATAGCTCTGTCTCCTGGGACTCTGTCCCCAATCAGGCTGTCTGTGTCATTTCCTGTGGAAACCAACACCTGTGTTGACACACTACCTGTAAACTGCCCAACACAGCCATTCATTTGTGAATGTAGATTCACCCAGGGCTGAATCCTAACTTGAGATCTGTGTGAAAATGTGGGTTGGGAGCACAAATCTCAAGTTAGGCCGGGTTGGATTTATTTCACCCAGGGAAGCTGTATTTTGAGAAACCTTTCTAGATCAAAATGTTCTATTATTATCTGAAAACGTTTGATGGTAGCATGATGCCATGTGGCTTGTTTTTGAGACTGAAAGTATTCTACATTTTTGCTATAAAACACTGTACAGTGTGTGGTGTACTGAAGCAGTAAGCAGGAAGATGGTTGTGTTCTGACATCTTGGAGAGGAGTATGAGTCAATTATGGCCAAGTGTTGTTCTTGCTTATCTTCCTACGGCACCAAACAAGGATTTAGTCAAGGATTTAGGGGTGGGGTGGGGGGGGCGGTGGTGGGGATCATGGTAAGCGGTTCACAACAAAACACTCAAAACTCCTGGGAACGGGCACTGATTTAAAAATAAATTACAGAAGAAGAAGCACTAACACTCAAGGGCCCTCAGCAGGGCTGGCATAACAGGTGAAGATTACCCTCCTCACTAATCAGAGGAACAAGGCAGTCATTTGCTCCGAACACAGACGGCAATTAGGACTTGGTGACACTGGATTCCCATAATGCCTTTGTGCTTGACATGGTCAAATTTCGACAGAGGCTATCCATGCAGGGTCACTGTCCCCCCCTCTCTCATCATGGGATAGACAGTTGTGGCTCCAGAGGTCCTCATTCCAGGGGATCCTTAATACATTGACTCCCTCATTGCCTTCTTACTTTACCACTCTGGTAATTATAATCTCCTTGGAAGACACTGGAGACTAGAGGCTGAAAACACTATTAAACTGCTCACTAGTCCCATGTAGATACATATTGCTGAGTTGGTTGTACGCGGATGATAGAGTAAGAACTAAGGCACTGGTAATGTGTGTCTACTTTGATTCCATGGTTACTAAGCCATGTGCTACAGCCAGCTTGAAGTACCTCACTGTCTCTGTGGCTATTGTAGCTAGATACTGTAGTGGGCTATCAAATGGAATTTCAGCTGCTTGAGTAAGCTTCATTGAGCAAGTGGCATACAACTGTAACACAACCTTTGCCTTGAAGTCTATCAAGATCTTCCCTTTTTAGACAGTCATTTCAGGCTGTTTTCATGCTCTCTCGAGTCCTGACATCTCAGAGTTAAGTATCTGCTGCTGTAAGGCTAAGGGAAATATGGACCAGTCTTGCCCTTTTCTGTTTCATCCTCTGACCTGCCATGTTACCCATGATTGGTGAAGGAGAACTCGGGTAAGTGGTGCCAAACGTGGCTGCCAATCGAGACAGGATGAGCAAGATCACACTTCACAGGATGGAGGCATGAAAGCTGAAGGTTTTTCCTCCTTCTAAAGTACTCTGACAACAATGTCCACAATTAGATTAAAGCAATTCCTTTAAATGACAGTAGATACTCCCACCAAAGTATGTCCCTGATACACACTGTGCAGTAGATAGCGTAAGTCATACTGTAGAAGAACTATAACAAGTTTTGACAAAATATGGCAACAATATTTTTGTTGATGCGGTATCGCTCCCTAATTCTTTTTTTAATGTTCATCCTAGGGTAAATTAAATAGCCAACCTAATAACTATATACATGCTCAATTCATTATTTGTATTAGTTCAAATACAATAGGTAGAGTGCTAAACAACTCTCACACTGCACAGCAGTGATTTATGGTAATTGCAAATCGATTGTGACAGGAGCACAATATTATAAATTCTTTCAACTCACAATCCACTATCAAGGGAAATATGTTGTCCTTTGACGCAAACCCTTGCCTGTGTGGAAACTGATAACCAATGGAAAACAGGTCACAGGATGTTAAAAATATTCCATTCTAAACTATGGATAAGTAACATTAAAATTGTGCGATTTGAAAGGGCCAACAGGAATTGAACACTTCATTTGTGGGTTGGTCGGTATACAAAAGCTGTATGCAATTTGGCTTTCTTTTTGTTTATCTCAAGACACAAGTATTTCTCCTGGGAGAGTGTTATTGTAATTGGAAGAACATTGAAGACATTGATTGGATATCTCTGATCTCTCATTTCAAGGTCATGGTTTCTAATCTTCCTTCCATAAAGTTCAGTTTTTTTATTTAATTTTTTATAATCCGTATTCTGGTGAAAGAGAGATGCTCTCATGCATAATCAGAGTTTACAAATTGCGTATGATGATAAAGAGTACAAATGCCCAGCCTCTCCCAATATGTCTTCAGCTAAACTAACTTTGTAACATTTACATTGCTGACTGTATTATATTGACTTGTACTAAATGTAAATGTCAATGTAGGATCACTCAGACACGCTCATAGTGAGGGTCTGTAGCAAAGGGCTGTGGGATAACAGCCATAGTGACAGGTCTAAAGTGTGAGTGAAGGTCAAAGGTCCCATGCGTTAAGCAAAGGTGCTCTAGCCTCTGTCCAGTAGATTGTAAGGGCCTACGGGTCCAACAGAAATATTTCCACAAACAATATCCCTGAGCTGTCAGTGTGCAGTGGCTGGAACATCCTCACTGAGAGAAAGGGTGGGGTGGGGAGAGATCTGGAGAGGGAATAGAGAAATTCAGAGAAGGGAGAAATGAGGAGGAAATGGGGGAGCAGAGATTGGGGAGGGGGAGAAGGGGGTGAGGGAGAGACAATGAAAAGTAGGGGCTGGCTGGGCACTCACCCATGCCGAAAGAGATTGCTATGAGCCAGAGCCATTGTTTGACTGGGTCTCGGCATGGACCAGGGCTAGCTGTCTGAGTTGTCAGCACTTGACTATAAACTCAACTGTGGTTTGGTGTATTTTGAAATGAGTATTTTCACCTTTTACAGTGTCCACACCTACTGTAAAATAGCACCCCTGAGAGTTTCATTACAGCCACAAACACCTAGGCTATGGTGCTCTCTGAAAACTGAACTGCACCATAACACACTAGCTAGTAAACCTCAACCTTCGTTTTTTTGTTGTTGCACAAACTGTTTCCTGCAGGAGTGTTAAAAAGTACACCATGTTGACTTATGTATTTAGGGGTCGAAAAAATATGCTCTTTGTGTTTAACAAACTAAATGTGTATTATTAATACTATACAGGATAATCCAATCTTCCAAAAAGGCACTTAAATGGTGTCATTATTTATTTACACGTCTGTACACCAGTTAATGGAATTGGCGGTGTTGAGCCGCAACACAGCTTGGGGTCTACTTTACTGAAATGTACATGTTAAGAGATGGCTATCCCAGTAGGGTCTTTACATGTCCAAAATGGGTCAGTCCACTTGCACGGACCTAGAGGCTGGTCAGCATCACCAAGCAACCTCATCTTTGTTAAGTGATGCCAACTCAACCATAGGCAAAGTGCTTTCCCACATCCAAGTTTTGTCTGTTTCTTGTAGGCACCCCTTTAAATTGATATGCTGCCTTTTTTTAGTCTGGGACTAAACTCGTTTTAGAGCCTTGCTGCCATAAGATTAATTGTAAATCCTGTTATTTTCGACAACTGACATGCAATAACACTGTTGCATGAAGCATGAAATACTTAGCTTTTGATGTAATGCCAAACTATTCAGCTGTTTCATTCATATCAACAACGTCTGTCAGTTTGCATACAATTAAATACTTTTGTCATTACTCTATCATTCATGCCCTTTCATTCATGACTTTTATTACACACATATGACATGCTATGATACTGTCTAACCGAGAATGGTCTGTTATTAATCTTCTTTTTGGGGGGGGGGGGGGGGTGCTTCTCATATCTCTCTCAGGAGTGACGATGCCTCCCTAAGCTGTGTGGTCACTGTTAGCGATGGCCAAGAGGAAATGGGCTCAGAGTTGCAGCGCTGCGTGGAATGGCTTCGGGCCTACTTCAGCAAGCCGTGGACCGTGGGGAGGCTCCCGCTCCCGGTCTTTCACCACCCCACCCTGCATGGAGGTCTGTCGCCATGGATAAATATTTTTTCAGCGCCATGACTGGAATCTGGCTTTCACTCTTAATTGTCAGTTACAACACTTACACTCTCTGGATCACTGTGTTATAATGAAGTATTTTATGGCAGAGAGAGAGTGGGAGAGGCAGAGAGAGAGAACAGAACCCGGAGCTGTAACTTGGTTCAGTAATCTGTGGCAGCCCTTACCGCGTGTGTTAGTCTTGGCCGCTGTTCCCATGATTCTTGGCACATTCTTGAAAACTTATCAAATTCCACTCTTGACATGTTCAGAAGGGAAGCTTTTTTTAATGAGAACATGTGAATGTTAGTAAAGTTTCAATGAGGGCATTGTTCACTTGACCAGTCACCCACAGCAGGGGACAAGAGAGCCTTCACAATGGACAGTTAGTGTGCTTTCAAGAAATAGCTGTGATTTCATAGTTTATGATAGAGCACACAGCAGTACATTTGACCGAAGATAGGTAGGCAATTATCAGAGCATTTTCTGCAAGAATAAATGAGTATCATAATGTCATAAGACATTGTTGAAATGATAAACTTTGGAGGACTCAAAATCATTTCCAAGAAAATGTAAATATAAGACAATTAGACTTTTAAATCGGAATGCTTATTGTATTGAAGCTGATCATTTTCTGAAGAGGTTTAATTTAGGAGGAAATAAAGCGCACCTACACCCAAAAATATGACAGCACTCAAATCCACTCCATTGCATGTACTCAACAACCGTACTACTCTTCCCCTGCTATTAGGTTTTAGTTGCAGTCTAATTTCATGCAGATCCACACAGTGCTTGAGTGATGGCATTTTCAATGAGTAGGTACTCCATTGAGACTCTGTATACTGCAACGAGTCCCACGCTCCCGCAAAGGCAATGCAGAAATACATCAGGAGCAATTACGATATCAACTTCCAGCGTGATTCCCTCCACCACCAAGTGCTTGTGTACCCGCCCCGGGCTCTTTCAAATCGCATCTCATCTGAAGTCTTTGGGGTTTTAATTAAAATTCTGGATAGATGGAATTCTTCATTAGTACCTGATCTGAATAAATGATTGTGCTCTGTTACCCCCCCCCCCACATACACACACACACCTCTCTGTTGTTGTGAGGTTGGGTAAATAGATGGTAGCCTAGGAGTGAATTGCTCTCAGTGGTCCTATAGCTGTAACGGTTGTCAGTGAAGACATGTTAAATGCAGGCAGCATGAGTATTTGTCTATTGAGGGAAGAAAATCTACTTTCTATATTTTTGATGATCATCAGAATTTGTAAATGTTCCTCTGGTTATGAGCAGGTTAAGGATGTGTTTACAGTTTAAATGAATTGCTGGTTATACTAACCTGTTAAGTGTCCTCAGGAGATTCATAAAATGCATAGAGTAATTAGAACAGTTCATGTCCAACATAATGGAATTGTTTTTTTGGGGTGAGAAAAGCTGGATGTCACAGTACTCACAGCTTCACATATGAATCATTGCCTCTACTTTTAAATGTTGTCACATTCATTTGCTCGGTTCATAAAAATGGAACCACTTTTAATATTAAGCTTCTCTGCGTAAAGTTGTGAAACTTGTTTCCCTACACTCTGGCTGTCATGCACCACATCACACACAAACTTTGGTTGGTCGAGAAGAGATGGAGAGAGTGAGTGTGTGTGTGTGTCTCCTCAAACACAGACACCACAGGTTCTCAGAATGATGCATATTCTTTCATTAATTATACATCCATATGTAAAAGATGAGAGGATCTTAGTCTGGGTAAGCGGCACGGGGAACGTGTTGGGAGGGGGAAGGGTGCTCTTCAAAGCCCATATGACTGGGTTCCTGCAGGAGTCTGAACCTCCCTCTGTGCACAGCGCAGGGCGAGATGAGACTCTCCAGGACCCGCCCCTGTGATGTGGAGAGGAATTAGGGAAATGAACGTTTTCAGAATATCGAATAATCAGAGAATCATGAACACCCCGTTAGCCTTCAAAAGTATGGATCCCCCAAGACTCAGGAGACACTTTGACTAGGAGCCAAATTCTCTCCTCCCTGCCATTAGACACAAAGGATAATGAGGGGGCCGCATTTCCACTATTGTACTTTATGCTCACAACTACAGAGGGTTGGGTAGCAACTGGAAAAGTATCTCTCCAAATCTCATTGTGTTAGTTAGCTAGGCTTATGTAGTGTCTGCAAATGTTCCACACAGTCACCTACACAACATTATGAACAGCTAATAAACTACTGGATTTATTATTTTATGTACAGTATTACATTTAAAAAGAACAATTACGTCAGTAGATTTAAAATCATATAATCCATTCCTACACATCGATTTTAGTCCCAGCTAATCTGGCCTCTCCAATGTCCCTGTCACCTGCCCTTATGGTAGGTAATGACCTGTGACATCATTATGGGAAGTCTGTAAAGGTGTAAGTGGTGCCCCTCAACTTTTATTTAAACAATTGACATCGGTGTGACCCCATCTAAACAGGGTCTTGACCCCAGACACACCATATTAAGCCCTTTATGAAGTATGGGGCTAGGGGACCGCTCTCAAATCATTGCTGGTCACCTGAAGTGACCCTCATGAAACTCTCTCTCCAACACTGTTGAGGCCAGAGTTGTTTAACCTCTAGACGTGTAGGTTTATGTCTGTGGAACCAGTATAAACCTTTTTCTTGTTGGACCAAGAAACTGGGGGTGTAGACTCACTTAAGACATATAGTGCAAGTTAACATAGCCTTGGTCATGATGTAGAGTCTGTCAATTTGACATTGACTAGTTGTTTGTCGATAATGTGTACATAAACACTGATTTGTATCTGTAGTCAGGAAGTGGTGCTGTTTAGCCACCAGAGTAACAGCAGTATCAATATGTAACACACACACCATGCACGCAAATCCATAATTTACGAGCAAGAATAATCTATTTAAAAATTGAGGATAAAGCTTCCTCTCTCCTCTTAACATGAAGTCTGCCTTCGTAAGAACCCATCAGCTCGTTGACAGCGTGATTATTACCTGAATAATTTTTAAACAGTACCTACGGGCCTTGTTGAAGACAAAGAACTCACATGGGTACGCATCAATCAAATATATCTCCTTCAGGTGTTATACTTATTCCCCTCAGTTTAGGCAAATTGCCTTGTTGGCGTGGCTTTGTGTAGCGGAGAGTGACTATAAGGTGGGAGCCTAGGGAGTGAAGGATGTTCGCTCTGTAGAAGAGATACTGGGGGGTTACATGTTTTCACACAATGCCAATTTAGAGTGATTTCACATACTGTAGATCACTTGTCAGGTGCTCTCTTAGACCAGAATGAGATGGAATGCTAGATGACTAATTGACTGTGTAGGATACATGAATTAAAGGAGTAACAAGCTTATGGTGTTCACTATTTCACTTTACAAAGGTACAGTTCAATTGTACACAGCTAGTCAATGTTCAGAGTAAAAATAGGTCAGATTTGAATGTATTGCATTTCTACTGTAAGTAATCAGTAGTCTGGTAGGACAGTTAAAGTTAATGCTACCGCTAAAGCGTTAATGAAATCAAAGCTGTTAATGTGGCCTCTTAAGCTGCAAATAATTTGTGAATTCCACCATTTAAGAGAGCCTGATATAATGAATCTACTCTCAATAGAAAGCAATTAAAAGGACAAATTAGTCTTATTAACCTCGAAGTCATCCCACTGCCACAAATTGTGTGCAACATTCAAATTATTTTTATTCAAAGAAAATAGAACAGATTTGGCCTCTCTTAATCCTTTTAAATGAAAGAGCGACCTTATAATTTTAGCTGTGACCTTATCTAATATAACCTAGATTGTCCTTCTTCAGAAATAATTTCCTTCATGTAAAATGCCATGTTAAACTGGTGTTTTAAAGGTAAAACTTAGGTATCTGTGTTACTCTTTCTCTATTGTAGTTTGCTCAACAAAAGAAAATGACTTCCTTTAAAGGTCCAATGCAGCTGTTTTTATCTCAATATCAATTCATTTCTGGGTAACAATTAAGCACCTTACTGTGATTGTTTTCAATGAAAATAGTCAAAAAGAAACTTCTTAGCAAAGAGCAATTTCTCAAGCAAAAATGTTGCTAGGACTGTCTGGGACTGGTCTGAGTGGGGAGGGGAAAACGAGCTTTCATTTGGCAGAAAGGTTTGGAATGCTCTTTCTTAGTGGTCTATTACAGATGCACTATTCAGAAATTGCTCTGCCATTTCCTGGTTGCTAAAATTCTATTAGTTTGCCTAATTTCTGTTTATGTGACAAAACAAGCAAGAATAGTGTAGAGAATCATTGTACCATCTAAACCGCTGTGAAGTATTTTTTCCATACCCCAAAATATTGTATTTTCAGCTGTTTGAAGCTGGTGTACAAAACCGAAAGTAAAAGACGCAAAAACAAACGTAATCACGGGAAGCATAGAAATAGCGCACATAGAGCATATCTACCGCTTCTTAGACTTGCTTTCAATGAGAATGACAGATCTATAAATCACATTTCTATGTGAATTTGGTCAGGTCACCCAAAAAGTAACATATTGCAGCTTTAACTAATTTACTGCCTGGATGTCACCAAAACAGGCAGAAATTTCAGGCAGTCTTTTCAAACAGCTAAAAGGGCATTATCATAATTTTCACAATTTCACTGTATTATTCCAACCTCATGGTGTGAAATATACTGTATATAAAATACAGGAAAATCACGTTTTAAACACAATATTGTGAATAAGGAAGTAGACCTTGCACATGTCGTCCTTTATTATGAGTGGTGGTGTCAGGAGTGTGACTGATGAAGTGAGCATCAGTCTCTACCTTTATACCTCCCACTCACTCCATTTTTCTCTCTTTCTCTTTTATCTTGTAGATGCATTCACCAGCCGGGTTCTGCAGACTCTGGTGCGGGACGTGAAGCTGGGAGAGACGGTGTCGTACAAGCGGCTGGCTGATATGGCAGGAAACCCCAGGGCTGTGAGAGCTGTGGGAGGGGCCATGAGGAGGAACCCGGTCAGTAGGGCTCTCTTTGATTGACACGCACACTCCTCTGAGATTAGCCATAGGTAGTCAGGACACCAAAGTTGGCTTTAGTTTTACCAAAGGTATACATCTTTTAGTGGTGGGTATCAAGTACATACCTGTTACAGCTTCAGTAAGGCACAGACAGCTTTAGCAATGATTTATTCAAAATAATAATTTAACTCAATGATTCATTTTATTATACTATAGTATACTAACCATAACCAATATAACTTTGGGCTCCATTTTCTGAGTATCTGCATTATTGTAAAGGCTATGTTCAAATGTATGGCTCTTGTAGGAAACCAGCCCTACCCTCTATCTTTTATACTGGTGATGTTATTCAGTCTGTACAAAATGAAAAGCCAGAGGGAAAACGGTGTGGCTGCTTTTGATCAGAACCTTTGATCAAAGTCTGTTTAGCTCTGTCCATGTAGAGTCGTGGTCAAAAGTTGTGAGGATGACACAAATACACATTTTCACAATGTCTGCTGCCTCAGTTTTGATGATGGCAATTTGCATATACTCCAGAATGTCATGAAGAGTGATCAGATTAATTGCAATTAATTGCAAAGTCCCTCTTTGCCATGAAAATGAACTTAATCCCCCAAAAACATTTCCACTGAATTTCAGCCCTGCCACAAAAGGACCAGCTGCCATCATGTCAGTGATTCTCTCGTTAACACAGGTGAGAGTGTTGACGAGGACAAGGCTGGAGATCACTCTGTCATGCTGATTGTGTTAGAATAACAGACTGGAAGCTTTAAAAGGAAGGGTGGTGCTTGAAATCATTGTTCTTCCTCTGTTAACCATGGTTACCTGCAAGGAAACACGTGCCATCAGCATTGCTTTGCACAAAAAGGGCTTCACAGGCAAGGATATTGCTGCTAGTAAGATTGCACCTAAATCAACCATTTATCGGATTATCAAGAACTTCAAGGAGAGAGGTTCAATTGTTGTGAAGAAGGCGTCAGGGCGCCCAAGAAAGTCCAGCAAGCGCCAGGACCGTCTCCTAAAGTTGATTCAGCTACGGGATCGGGGCACCACCAGTGCAGAGCTTGGTCAGGAATGGCAGCAGGCAGGTGTGAGTGCATCTGCATACACAGTGAGGTGAAGCCTTTTGGAGGATGGCCTGGTGTCAAGAAGGGAAGCAAAGAAGCCACTTCAGGGACAGACTGATATTCTGCAAAAGGTACAGGGATTGGACTGCTGAGGACTGGGGTAAAGTCATTTTCTCTGATGAATCCCCTTTCCGATTGTTTGGGGCATCCGGAAAACACCTTGTACGTTGAAGACGAGGTGAGTGCTACCATCAGTCCTGTGTCATGCCAACAGTAAAGCATCCTGAGACCATTTAATGTGTGGTTTGCTTCTCAGCCAAGGGAGTGGGCTCCCTCACAATTTTGCCTAAGAACACAGCCATGAATAAAGAATGGTACCAACACATCCTCCGAGAGCAACTTCTCCCAACCATCCAAGAACAGTTTGGTGACGACCAATGCCTTTTCCAGCATGATGGAGCACCTTGCCATAAGGCAAAAGTGATAACTAAGTGGCTCGGGGAACAAAACATCGACATTTTGGGTCCATGGCCAGGAAACTCCCCAGACCTTAATCCCATTGAGAACTTGTGGTCAATCCTCAAGAGGCGGGTGGACAAACAAAAACCCACAAATTCTGACAAACTCCAAGCATTGATTATGCAAGAATGGGCTGCCATCAGTCAGGATGTGGCCCAGAAGTTAATTGAAAGCATGCCAGGGCGGATTGCAGAGGTCTTGAAAAAGAAGGGTCAACACTGCAAATATTGACTCTTTGCATAAACTTAATGTAATTGTCAATAAAAGCCTTTGACACTTATGGAATGCTTGTAATTATACTTCAGTATACCATAGTAACATCTGACAAAAATATCTCATAACACCGAAGCAGCGAACTTTGTGAAGACCAATACTTGTGTCATTCTCAAAACTTTTGACCACGACTGTAGTGCTGTGGGCTAGTCGACTAAACTCAACTTCACGATTTGCGATGGACTTGGGCGGCGACTAGTGTGGGCCGACTGGAGGTCCGACTTCAGATAAGATGAAGTTTTTATCAAAAACTGCTGATTTCAGCACCCAAAGAATAGCCCGCAATTACACAGAACAATGTTGTTCATTTTATGTGACGTCGGCGCTCCATCCGCCAACACTAGTCGCCGCTCAACTCCATCATTAATCGTGGAGTTGAGTTTAATTGGCTAGCTGTGGGCATGTGATGGAGGCACTGTATAGCAGTAGTAGTAATAGTAGTTTTGTGAAGACACCCACACAGACACATGCATTGTGTTTTTACAAGGTAACCAACGTTCGTTTTAAAGCCTAAATGTATGGAAATATAAATACAATATTATGAATTATGTTACGCTGTTGCTCTGTAATATGCACTAAAAGTACCTTTACTCACTATTACATTCTAGAGTAATACCTTCCAGTTAAACAATAAAGAGTCTAGCCTTTTGGCTCATGATCTAGAATCAGATCCTCTCAATGTCAATTACTTGACAGTACTGCTGATACACTTGGGCTTCAGCTGTGAAAAGCTCTGCAAAGTATTGATTTCTGCCTCTCTGTGGCACTTCTTTACCAGGATTTGAGTATTGATAAGCTTTAGTGTTCTTTCCCCGAGTGAAGAGGCTGATCCAAAGGCCTTGAGAGTACCCTACCCAGACTGCTCTTCAAACCCGGGGAACCCAGTATTGATCCACATAGCGTTGCAGCATCCCTCTGTCAGTAAGGTTAATCTGGGGTCTGAAAGTTTTATTGCTGTTGACATGAGAGTGGTTTTAATGATAGATTTAAAACGCATAGGATTTCCTACTGTTCTACAGTTAGAGAAGGGCTAAAGGTACAACCATCAAACCATGACAACCAACCCTGAACTAGTGACATTTAGTTAAATTACAGGGCTGCAGTATGCCAGCTAATATGTAATTACTAATAACATACTTTTAATATTTGATCATGACAGCAAAATACAGGTAATATGCAGGCAATATACAGGCGGAGTAAGAGCAACTCGATGTAAGCTAGGCTAACGTTTGAAAATGCAAACAACTGTTATAAAGTGCCCGCCCTATTGCCACTATTCTTGTTTGGATTCCACAATGAATGAATTTGTGTAATCTCACTTTTTTTATCCTTCACCAGTCATTTAGTTTACAAAGAAATCCAGAGCCCCTGGCAGTCGTCTGCAACAAGAGTAAACGCACCATCAACTTCCTATTTTTAATGATCACAGGGTTATCAGATCTTAATGTTGACACCCTCTCCATTGAATATTCATCCTGCTGGTGTTTTTGCCCATTAATTTTTGATTGCTGCTTTGCTTTATACTATTAAAGAGTCAAAAATCATTTATAACCAAAGACAGAGCGTTCACGTTCAATGTGGATCTGTTCAGGATCAAACCAGACACTTTTGACGTGGCTTTTTTACATGATCAAATGAAGGGAAAATGTTGTTGATTCATGTTTTCATATATAGCAAATCAGGGATGCCTCAGTGGTTCTGTGTTATCAAAGCATCAACAATTATGCTACATTCACAGTGTCTGTCTGTGTCAACATGAGAATGCAGCCTCTGGATTGTCATGTCACTTGACTAAACGTTGTTATGACATGGACGTATTCTCTTCATAACTAGTGGTGTGAAGAACAAGGACAGGCTTGTTCAACCAATTGTACCCCCAATATTGCCAAAACATGCAATTTAATTTATCTCTCCACCTCAGATGCCTCTTCTCATCCCCTGCCACCGTGTCATCTCCAGCAGTGGTCAGAGTGGGATGTACATGGGCGGCAAAGGTAACCATCTGAAACAATGGCTGCTCACCCACGAGAAGGTCAAAGGGGAAAACTGAAGAACAGTGGAGTGATATAGTAAGACCAGTGTGGGATATTTTTTACAAAGCAGGGTTGAAGTGTTATCCAGACAACTTGTATAACCATTCTGAAATCACTGTACTTCCTGAAACAGTTAAGAGCTTTCTTTGTGTTATATGAATGAACACCAACTATTATTTCTGACTGTTTATCACAGTAAGCAAGCTAACTCCTTTATCCTGCTTTGTGAAATACAACAGTAAGCAAGATGCGATGTCAACAATTAACCACAGCTGAGGAAACCTGCACATAGTTGCATGACGTGCACATGGGGCGGCTTCACAAGTGAAATGTGTGTCAGCTGTGCCTTATTTTGAAAATGCTGTCTATAACCCAAGGGAGAGCTTTCATGTTTTTGTTTTTCAATTTGCTTCTGTTCTGCTTTGTCCTACTGTCCAATCTGTGTTCTAATTTAATTCATGTGAAAGAATAAAGTGTAGGTTTAAAGGAGTGGAGGTGTTGGGAGGGTTAGTGTAGAGGGCACAGTCTACCACCCTAGTTGGTCCTCAGTTTTAGAACGGCGGTAACAACGCTCTCTACAGTCCAGCAGTACAGTGAAATAGATTCTAACTATACTGCAGCGGGACAAGATAAGACAATCACCAGTAGACACCCATAAATAACAACTATGTTTATGCCAATACTACTGCTCTTCTGTTCTACTAATCATACTGTATAGTTAATGTTGATCTGAAATTAAAGGCACTAAAATAACTTTAACATTGAACAGTAGGAATTACAAGCATATGTTCCCATGGGTGCCAGTTTGTGTTGCCAGTTATTGTTGGAATGGTTTCTCTAAATAATTATTTCTCCAAAATATGTCACTTGAATCGTTTTCCTTCCTATGCTAAATCACTCTTTGTACCTTTCGTTGGTTATTGTATTTCCTGCCAAGCGAATGCTTTGTTCAACATCCAGGAAAAATGCTCGAAATTGTGTTTTGAGTCATTAGTTTTTCTTCATTAAGATTCACCTACAACGATAGTGTTTAAAATTATTTATATTTTTCAGAAATACATTTAAAGTTTTAAAAGCTTCATTTTGCATAACCAGTCACTTAATTATTTTAAATGTTGTAGTTATACCAGAATAAACTGTAGATATAGTTTGCAATAGATGTGTTATTGTGTGCAGTTAGCCATCTCAAATATGGCTGAAATTTGAAGCACCATTGAAAATAATATTAGTGCTTCTTTCTTTATAAAAAAATATGCTTTCCAATAGAGGGCAGTGTAGAACGGGAAACAGGCATAAACATTCAGCTTTCAATTCTTCAGGCACATTTCATCTGTAAGTTGAACAATGGGATCAATTTCCAATTTAATGCCATTGAGAGAAATTATATATTTTTTCTGAGAGCGAGGTATATGAAGGCAGCCTGGTAAAGAGTGCATGAACATTTTTCTGTGAGGATTAGATTGACAGTCATTTTAATCTATGCAATATTATATAATTTCTGCTATTCTATTTTTGCAAACAAGTATCTCACCGACTTTTACTGATTCATCCATTTCTACTTAACTGTGGTACATTTTGAAGCATCTTTGAATGCATCTCTGCCGTACTGTTGGACTCACAGCACTCTGCCATCAGAGCACAATTCCAGCCTCGATGTTGAAGCAGGCAGACTGCTGTAGACTGGCAGATGAAGAATGAGTTTCAGTGTGTGGTTTTACACAGGGCTAATGATGCCTGTGGTGGCTACAGGCTACAGTCAGCCCGTAACCAAGGCTGCTGTGACAGAGCCACCAGGGGATCATATTTAAAAGGAGCACACTCTGAAGTGCACTGTAAGCGCCCTCTTTTCTTGTGGCTAAGTCAAGTCTATGTAATAGGCTACACTACACAACAGAGGGGAGTAAAAGGTCAACGATATGTTATATGTATTAAGTCAGAGATACAGGCCAACCGATTAGCAGATGTGCGAGTAGTTTGGCCGTTACAGTTCAGGGATCAGAGAAAAATGCGGTATGCACTTTGATAACTTATATTAGTATCATGCATGTGCTAGTACTCTGTTTTAATATCATCCTGGCCATGTGATTCAAAGGAATTATAATGGAATTATGGACACCATTAAAAGCGGTTGAGACTACTATTTTATTATCTGCTCTGTTAATCTCTGTGAAACGTCTAATTTTGTCCTAATATTTGCTTCTGTGTGTGTGTGTGGTGCGTGTGCATGCGTGTGTGTGGTGCGTGTGTGTGTGGTGCGTGTACATGCATGTGTGTGGGGGCAAAGTGGAGGATATTGAGTCTGACTTCATAAATCACCCAGACACTGATAAACTCCCCATACACCCACACACCGCTAATGGGCAACCCTTAAGGAGTGTGGGTGTCTCGTGCGGCGTTTGATTCAACATTTATTAACGCCCTCACACATACGTGCACACACACACACATACTCAAAAGAGCTTCTGAAGGACCGAGGAAAGGGTCGGTGGCATTCACATCGTTATTACAAGGCTGTGACCAAGTCAGGCTGAATTAATCATTGCTGATAGTGTTAAGATATATTTAGGCTTCTATAACAATATTTCCCAACATTTCCATTTCATAAGTTATATCCTGTCTCTAATGTAACTCCCTACTTCCCATCTCATATCCTGCCATCCCTCCTCATAACACAGTAATTGTCTGCCCCCACATCAAATACAGACACTCTGTGCTCGCACCTCATACAGTCAACCATCGTTACTCCCTATACTAATCCATCACATACCAGTGTAGTCACAACTCACATTGGCAATTTCTATAAAAGTCCTTCTCTGCTTACCCTATCATGCAATGTGTACATCAGTCCAGCAGCCTCATTTTACATGCTACTGTAGGCTTACACATACAGTTTGGTTGTGTATTATATTGCCTTAACATATTAGTAGAACTAGATCACAGCACCCAGCAAGAGGCAGTGTAATGCCTTTGCGATTCCAGGGTATTACACATGCAGATAAGCATTGACCAACAAACCAATATTATACTGGGCTCCACTGCCCTATCATGTTGCCTCCCCCTCTGTCTTGATGTCTCTGAGGCTCTGACACCAAGGCACCATGCAGCCAGACCAGCTTCCACAGCTGCTGCTACAGCAGTCTAATACCAACACACGGCGCCATAGCCCAGCACTTCAAAAACTAATATAATTTCAAACATGGCATGCTCTGAAGCTATTGTAATGATCTTTGGGGTCTTGAGAGAGTGGGGGGCTTTGTCTATTTTGACAAAAGAAACTCCCCAAAAAGAGACGGTTTAGGATGACAGTGGTAAGGGCGGCAGGTAGCTTAGTGGTTAAGAGCGTTGTGCCAGTAACCGAAAGGTCGCTGGTTCTAATCCCCGAGCCGACTAGGTGAAAAATCTGTCGATGTGCCCTTGAGCAAGGCACTTCACCCTAATTGCTCCTGTAAGTCACTCTGGATAAGAGCGTCTGCTAAATGACTAGAAACTCAGCTGTAAATAAAAGGAAGAAACCTTGAGAGGAACCAGACTTTTAGAGGGAGCCTATCTCTACTCTGCCTTATTGGCCAAAGGTTCAGATTTTATGACTGAAGTAGTTATGCCATGCTGTGGGGCATAACAGGATGCAGCTAGTCAGGGGCAAGGCCATGCAGATGTGATCTGAGTTTGACAGTGGGCACATTGTATCATCTGCAATGTCACACTTAATGTTAACCCTTACGGAAAAACCACATGTGAAATGTCCATGTTTGCACATGTGGTTATGGAACACTTAACGTGATGATATTTCACAGGTGATGCCCTCTGCAAACAGAAATTCGTCGTTAGGATGTCACGCAGTCGTAGTGTTTTCAACGTACATATTTGACACACTTTGATGTACATGGTGCATGTTTATTCACACAGTGATTATTATTCAACATGTCTTCATCTGGGATTTGAACTCACAACCTCTTTGTTCACAGCATCCCAATCTTCCTGCTACGCCACCAAGTCTGTGTCAATAACTGATTTCACCTGTATTCCTACACTTTGGATTTAAAGTAAATCTCAGCTTTGTTAAAAAATAAACTCAAGAAAAACTATTATATTTATCATAGTGATTCAGGAGTAACATTAAAACAGAACAATATGCCCCACCAACATTAGACAACAATACAGAAAACCCTCAAATAATTAAATCAATGATGAGAGAATAGTCAGATTAGCTGATAACTAAAATAGAAGTGCAGATGGCAATCTTTTGCTAAGGGCAGAGATGTATTATAGGTAATGAATGTGTAGGGAACTTCAGAGAGTGCTACAGACTTTGTGCTGCAGCAGACAGATCAGCGTACCCCAAATGTGAGTTCAAGTCCCAGGTGGGGTCATATTGACAAGTCAGCACTAAGTGATCATGTTAATGTAATCATGTTGATTAAAGATCTTTACACTATCTTAACACTTACCTTAAAACACCCACACCATTTAATTACTTCCCTTACAAAAAAAAACATGAACTGTGCAGTTTCATGAGAACAACTGACCTCACATGTGACTCTTTTGTTTTCACGTGAACATTTCAGCTCAACATGTGAAAACAGCTATTTCACATGTAAAAATGTGAAATAGCTGTTTTCACATGTTGAGCTGAAATGTTCATGTGAAATCAAGAGTCACATGTGAGGTCAGTTGTTCTCATGTGAAACCATATGTTCACATGTATAACATTTAGAGCTCACACCACCTTTTCACATGAATAGAATAACGTTTTCACCTCCCATGTGAATTGCAGATTTATGTGAAAATCACATTTGCATTTTCACATGTGAAAAACCTTCAAATGTTGTCACGTGTAGTTTCATGGTACACTACATGACCATAAGTATGTGGACACCTGCTCGTCGAACATCTCATTCCAAAATCATGGGCATTAATATGGATTTGGTCCCCCCTTTGCTGATATAACAGCCTCCACTCTTCTGGGAAGGCTTTCCACTAGATGTTGGAACATTGCTGCGAGGACTTGCTTCCATTCAGCCATAAGAGCATTAATGAGGTTGGGCGATTAGGCCTGGCACGCAGTCGGCGTTACAATTAATCCCAAAGGTGTTCGATGGTGTTGAGGTCAGGGCACTGTGCAGGCCAGTCAAGTTCTTCCACACCGATCTCGACAAACCATTTCTGTATGGACCTCGCTTTGTGCACAGGGGCATTGTCATGCTGAAACAGGAAAGGGCCTTCCCCAAACTGTTGCCACAAAGTTGGAAGCACAGAATAATCTAGAATGTCATTGTATGCTGTAGCGTTAAGATTTCCCTTCACTGGAACTAAGGGGCCTAGGCCGAACCATTATTCCTCCTCCACCAAACTTTACAGTTGGCACTGTGCATTGGGACAGGTAGCGTTTTCCTGGCATACGCCAAACCCAGATTCGTCCATCGGACTGCCAGATGGTAAAGCGTGATTCATCACTCCAGGGAACGTATTTCCACTGCTCCAGAGTCCAATGGCGGCGAGTTTTACACCACTCCAGCCGACGCTTGGCATTGCGCATCTTAGGCTTGTGTACAGCTGCTCGGCCATGGAAACCCATTTCATGAAGCTCCGGACGAACAGTTCTTGTGCTGACGATGCTTCCAGAGGCAGTTTGGAACTCGGTAGTGAGTGTTGCAACCGAGGACAGACGATTTTTACACGTTACGTGCTTCAGCACTCAGCGGTTCCATTCTGTGAGCTTGTGTTGCCTACCACTTCGCAGTTGAGTCGTTGTTGCTCCTAGACATTTCCACTTTACAATAACAGCACTTACAGTTGACCGGGGCAGCTCTAGCAGGGCAGAAATTTTACGAACTGACTTGTGGAAAAGGTGGCATCCTATGACAGTGCCACGTTGAAAATCACTGAGCCCGTGGCCTCCCGAGTGGCGCAGTGGTCTAAGGCACAGCATCGCAGTGCTAGCTGTGCCACTAGAGATCGTGGTCCAGGCTCTGTCGCAGCCGGCCGCGACCGGGAGACCCATGGGGCAGCGCACAATTGGCCCAGCGTTGTCCAGGCAGGGATGTTCCTGTCCTATCGCGCACTAGCGACTCCTGTGGCGGGCCGGGCTCAGTGCACACTGACTCTGTCGCCAGGTGTACGGTGTTTCCTCCGACACATTGGTGCGGCTGGCTTCCGGGTTAAGCAGGCACTTTGTCAAGAAGCAGTGTGGCTTGGTTGGGTTGTGTTTCGGAGGACACACGACTCTCGACCTTCGCCTCTCCCGTGTCCGTACAGGAGTTGCAGCGATGAGACAAGACTGTAACTACCAATTGGATACCACGAAAAAGGGGGTAAAAATGTTTTATCACTGAGCTCTTCAATAAGGCCAATGTTTGTCTATGGAGATTGCATGGCTGTGTGCTTGATTTTATACACCAGTCAGAAACGGGTGTGGCTGAAATAGCCAAATCCACTAATTTGAAGGGGTGTCCAAATACTTTTGTAATATAGTGTATCACATGTTGAAATTTTGCATTTATTTCACATGAGATCATGTTTTCACATGTGTAGTTTCATGTTATCACATGTTGCTTTTACATGTTGTCACGTTAACACATTAACTTCACATAAGATCACAAGATATGTGATGCATATGTTTTTTCCGTAAGGGAATCTCCAAAAGGTAGCATATAGTCCAGAACACTCAGCCTTATGTTTATGTGTGAGTGTCCGTGTGAACTTGTGAACGTGTATGCTGCTGTATGCACTGCAGTGAGAGACATGGGCTGAGACTGAGTGTGTGTATTCCTTCACGTATTATTAACCTATGACTACAGCCTCGTTTTTAGAGAGTGGGAACCAGAGTGTCTCAGGCTGGAAAGTGCAGGTCTAGCCGTGTTCTGTTGACGAAGGGGCTGCACTTCAGAGGCTCCAGGACCCCCTGGCACCAGTCTCCCCAGTCCCCCAGACAGACTGGGAGCATCTGGGCTCCGTCAGCACCTCTGGCCCCTGCAGACTGCGATCTATATGACGAGTCCCGGACAGAGGAGTGGACTGGATCAGGGAGTGGGAAAATAAGAGCCTTGGTGCCAAATACTGTCTGCAGCCTTGTGAGAAATACACTTTACCTATTAGAAGTTCTGTATGACTAGAGAAGATGTACTGTATATATTTACCAATGTCTAGTGTCTTGA